TCACTTTGGTCCAAACCGCTGTGGGGGCAAACCAGGGCGTTGCAGGAGCAAATGTGGCACCCGCTCCTGGGGAGGGCCGTTCGGCAGGCACAGAGCTGCCAACATGTGTTTTCCTTCCGCTTCCCTGTTTGCAGCGTATTCCTAGCACCCTCCCGGCGTATTCCTAGCACCCTCCCAGCGTATTCCTAGCACCCTCCCGGCGATTTGCTTTCGCGTGGTTAAATAATCCCCAATGCAAACATTGCAGCTCTGCCGTGGCACTTCTGCTCGCGTCGTTTCAAATGCTTTAGCTGTGCCAGTTCAGTGCCAACACCGCTGACGCTGCGAAGCGCAAAGCCCGTCGGCGAGGCCTCGGTATTGACCAGTTGGGTTTTAGTTGAGACTTTTTTCCACTGCTTAGACGGGGAGAGCAGTCGTTTACGCGACTTCGTGGCTGGCACTGCAGCCGTCACTTGGTTCTGCTCTGTTTGATGCTGGAGCACAGCGCGAGGCTGAAGCGTGAGCGATGGGACGTGCGCAGGGCACGTGCCCAGAGAGATGCACGGCGAATTTCCTCCCACCCCTCCCAAACGCCGAAACTCTCCCACCGTTAAAACCAAGACCCCAAATGCCAGCTTGTCATTTAAAACTCCGTTGCGCAGTTGTGCTGGGAGAAAGCAGGGCTGGGGTCAAACCTCTGGCAAAGCTCCCTCTGTCCGAAGCCTCACGGGCTGCGCGGTGCTGCCAGCTCTCCCTTTAAGAGCAGAATCACAGAATGGTAGGGGTTGGAAGGGACCTCTATGGGTCATCTAGTCCAACCCCCCTGACGAAGTAGGGTCACCTACAGCAGGCTGCACAGGACCTTGTCCAGGCGGGTCTTGAATATCTCCAGAGAAGGAGACTCCACAACCTCCCTGGGCAGCCTGTTCCAGTGCTCCGTCACCCTCAGAGGGAAGAAGGTACTCCTCATTTCCTGTGCTTCAGTTTGTGCCCGTTGCCCCTTGTCCTGTCACTGGGCACCACTGAAAAGAGCTTGGCCCCATCCTCCTGACACCCACCCTTCAGATATTTGTAAGTATATATTAGGTGTATGAGCGTGAAGCCACTGGGAACCAACCAAGAGGATGAGAAGGTGGAGCTGCAGCTTGGTAGGCGTCAGCAAGGGAACCGCTGCTTTCAGCAAAGTCTAACACGTTGCAGCTGAGTGCCTGCTGCGGGCAGCATTTGCCCTTCCTGACTCCCTGCAGCTGTGTGAGCAGTGCGTCCTGGGTCCAGATCCTTCCAGTTCACGCAGTAGCTTGGCCAAAGCAGACTTTGGAGACTGACAGGGTGGTGTTGCGTGGTCGTAGGACTGTCATGTGGCAGGGGGATCTGTTCGGAGCGTGACCCAGCCGATGGAAAAGCAGCTCCCTGGAAGCCAGCGGCAACTTCAGCTTTGAAACCAGACTACTCGCTTGCGGAGAGCAGACCGCTTGTGGCTTTCTGCCACCCAATAATTCTCCCCAAGCAAAACATCTTCCCTTACTGCTTGTGAAATTCATAAATCACAGAATCACAGAATGTTTGGGGTTGGAAGGGACCTCTGTGGGTCATCTAGTCCAACCCCCCTGCCGAAGCAGGGTCACCTAGAGCAGGCTGCACAGGACCTTGTCCAGGCGGGGCTTGAATATCTCCAGAGAAGGAGACTCCACAACCTCCCTGGGCAGCCTGGGCCAGGGCTCTGTCACCCTCGGAGGGAAGAAGTTCTTCCTCATGTTCAGACGGAACTTCCTGTGCTTCAGTTTGTGCCCATTGCCCCTTGTCCTGTCACTGGGCACCACTGAAAAGAGTCTGGCCCCATCCTCTAAAGCTGTTGAACCATTTTTTTCCACCCAAACAGAAACCGTTCCTGCTTCGGTCTTTATTCGGAGCTTCTTTTGAGACCGTAATGCAGGCAAATTCCAGTTTCCAGAAGGATCTTGCTGCAGCCAGGCTGTGTCGGGACTAATGCTGATCTCGTTTGGATGGAACAAGCTGGTTGTTGCAGAATAATCTATTACCCTGCTCTAAAGCTTCCGTCTTTCAATCCGCACAGCAGGGATTATTTACTTAGGGATTTACGTGTGTGTTGGGGATCTAGGTTTGTTTGACCCCTCCAACAGAACAAAAACGCAGTCGACTTCCCGGCGGTTTGAACTGCGCCTGAAGCGTGCCGCTGCCACGGAAAGGCCAGGGCCGGCTTGGGGCCGGCGAGGGGCCGTGGCATGGCGTCCACCAT